TTCTTTCTTTCTTTCTTTCTTTCTTTCTTTCTTTCTTTCTTTCTTTCTTTCTTTCTTTCTTTCTTTCTTTTCAAACAATACCACACAGCGGGCCACCAGCGACCTGTACAGCCCTTCTTGTCTATCTCTACTGAGTACTGGCTCTGAGCTCCTCTGCTCTGCTGTGTCTTTTCAGGACGGGGCCACCTTTGGAGTAAGTTAACACTTACCTTTTGTATCACAGCTTCTTTCCTCTTGAACCCCAGTCGAGCTCTGCAGATGGCTGCTCACACTGAGCCTGGTTCTGCTGGAGGTTTCTTCCTGTTAAAAGGTTTTTTCTCCCTGTCGCTAAACAAGCATGCTTGGTGTGAGGGATTGCCTTCGAGTCAATGACTTGATGCAATCAGCTGGTATTCCTTAGACAAAAAACTTTGAAAAATTCAGACTGTATGATCTGGTTGAGTTGTCTCTAAAGTGCCTTGAGATGATGTGTGGTAACCTGGCACTATATAAACTAAAAATAATTGATACATCCAGCAACTGCAGAGTTGTTTTTTTAATCTTCATTTGTATAGTCTAATGACAGACTTAAATAAAGTGTACCGGTATTATCATTTATATTAATATGTGAAAATGAATGCAGGAATCACAGTTTAGCACCTTTTTATGTTTCATTAACCTGATTTGAGCCCTCACATCCACGCACACACAGTCTCAGTAGTTCTTGCCGTTAGCATTTCTGTCACGCAGAGACACCACAGACCACCAAGTTCTTGAAATTATATTTTCTTAAGCTTCTTTAACATAGATTTTGTAAAACATGACAGGTAATCACACATTGTAAACCCTGCAATAGGGACCCTTCTTGATATTTTAAACAAATAATCAAAAGGAATCCCAAAGATATCTTTGAAAAAGTACCGGGGTGGTCCAGACTTAACCAAAGATATGCTAATATCATAGAGCTGTTGAAGTTCAATCCCCCCCTTTGCCACAGATGTGTTAAGTTATTACGCATTTGGCCTTTTAAAAATACGGGCCCTGAATTGGGACACATCAATTATTGTAATGTTTGCAAACAGGGGTCCTGGGCCAGAAGCCATTGGTGTTTGAGCGTCATTGAAAAGTTTGGGAACCCCTGTCCCAATGTAAAGTTAATTCAAGCAAAGTTTAATGGTCACTTTAAAGTCCATGAGAGTATTAATCCATTGAGTGTTTGCTACACCTTGTGGTAATTGATTCACTATAACCAAATAAAATCTTTACATTTTTAAATGTTGTGACTTTAAATGTGTCTTTTATTTTAGCTCAGGAACAATACTTTCCAATTACTGGGAGCTGGCAGATCAGCCAAGAGGCCTGACTGGAAAACCAAGTCAAGCTAAGTCTTTGTGAGCTCATACGGAAAAGCCTCATGAAATCATGGCGGAAGCCAAAAAAAAGGTTGTAAATTCAGTTACTTATACCACTGACAGCATTTTAAGCTGAAGAGAAGGGTCTGTTGTAAACTTTTAGTTGAAAACTATTTTCAAGTATTAGTTGAAAACTAGAGACTTATCATTTTCACCTGGATTACCTGGACAAAAAAAAGTAAACATTAATTTATAACATGCTGTCAGCAATGAGAAATCAACAGACTCTGTCGAAGTTTTATTCAAATAAAAAACTCCAATCTTTTTACCAGTTGTGCATGCTAAATATTTTCTAAAATAAGCTCATGAAAAAGATTCATATTCTCCATCAACCTGATTTCGTAAAAAAACAAAAACAAAGCGGAGTTATCAGGCAGCACGGGTAATTTTCACAGTTTTACGTTGCTGAGTAATTCTAGGATCTCATCTATCTGGCACTGTGACTCACAATATGTCCAATTTTCAAGCAATGCTTAAATATCTCCACTAGAGGCTCCCTGTTGAGTGAATACACTTTCACTCATTCCACAACCACATGCACACACACATTCAGTCCCTCATGCTGTTCCCCTCAAATAGACCTGCAGAACAGTGAGCAGGGTGGATTGCTATTTGGTGTTGCAGGGCATTAGCCGCTGATGTCTTAACACTTGTAAATGAACCTTCCTCCCCTCCTAATCTGTCACTTTAATGCACTATAGATTTTATTTCAGCCTCTGTAGTATCACATTCTCAATAATAATCATCAAGCTGATGCTGTTGTCCCCCTCCTACAGAAATTAAATCTTGCTGCCGAGTGCACAACTAATAAAAGATGTTGCTGGAGGAAATAAAAAAATAAATATGATGAATCATAAGCAGCAGGGATTTGTATTCAGATGCAAAAGACAATTACATAAAGAGTTTGAATTTATCAGCCTCTTCTCCTCTCAAAGGCTCAATAATGGACCACCACCGCTGGGCGCTTGATGTTGCATGTTTAGAAACACATTTAAATAAGCGTTTGTGGACATCCGCACACATAATGCAAACACTTTCAAGCAATTCAAAAACTAGAGCATCACACACTCATAACTGCATCTCAAACTTGGAATGTCTCTTTCACACAAAAAGGAAGTGAATGAAATTTGTACATTTCTGTTGACCCCCACACATCAACACCATAAAACAAAAACCATAAAAAAAATGAAATTAGGCTGCAGAAACTGCTATATGTTAGCCAATTCTATCTATTAAAATAAGATATATTAAAGAGTCAAATATAAAACTGGAATCTCTTGACACAAAGACAGTTTTTTCAAACTTAAGCCCTGAGAGCCAGTGTACTGCAACCTAAAGTGCATCTCAGCTTCAACACACCTGACCCAATTATTCGCTAATTAGCAGAGCTCTACTTGACTGCATGAAAGTGAGGTAGTTTAGCCATTTTATTAAGGCATGTTGGGCAAAAGAATCATTCAAAAAGTTGCAAGATACTGGCCCACAAAGATTTAACATTAGTTTCTATTTAGACTGTGTCTGATACGTTTTTCTTAAAAACTAAAAAAAACAGAGACATTTTTTTTTTACATTATT